GAAACTGAAGACAGTGAAAGGAATCTGCCCAATGTCTCTGGTTAGAGGAAGGACTGGACTTAGAACCCAGGTCTCCGGACTTGGAACCCCAGGCAGAAATGTGTTCTGCACCATCTGCCCAAGAAACTCCTTGCTACTCTAAATACCAGCCTGGTGCTATCTGCCAGATCCCGGAGTGGTGGGGCTCTGGGCCTTTCTCACTGTAGCCAATCTCATGCCTTTCACCTCAGAGAAGGTAGTTTTGGAGCCGGCAACCTTGGTTTTGAATCCCAGCTCTACCATATATTATCTGTGTGACTCTGGGCAAGTTACAGAACCTTCCCACAGATCAGTTTCTTATATAGTTAGGATAATATGTCTGACAGAATAGTGGTCCCCTGAAGAGCTCCATGTTCTGCTCCTTGGAACCTGTGACTTTCCCTTACATGACAAAAGGGACTCTGCAGATGTGATTAGAAGGGCCTTGAAATGGTGTGTTATCCCAGATTATCCAGGTGGGCCCAGTACCATCACAAGCACCCTTAGATATACTTGAGGGAGGCAGGAGAGGTGGAGTCAGAGAAGGAGATGAGAAGATGGAAGCAGAGGTCAGAGTGATGTGACTGCTGGAAGGGGGCCATGAGCCAAGGAATGCAGGCGGCCTCTAGAAGCTGGAAGAGGCAAATAAGTGACGTCCCCCTAGAGCCTGATTTTAGCCTTGTGTGACCCATTGGACTTTTGACTTGCAGAACTGTACTGTAAGATAATACTTTTTGTTGTTTTAAGCACTAAATTTGAACATGTATGGCAAAACTGAAAGGCACCTGGCAACTTGGTAAACAGTAACTGTTCTGTGTCCCAGAATCCCAATTTTTATCCCATTTGCCCCCACTGATCACACTTGCATGTTCAGACCAGAGCTAAGACCTTGGCTTCAGGCAGCAGAAATGGGGGAAGGCAGGGAACCTCATTTTCTCTGTGTGGTCCTGACTTGCAGGTGCTTAGCTGTAGGATCTCTGTTCCAGGACGGGCCCAGCCCCGAGGCCCGTGGAGCTTAGCCTCAGTGAAGGTGTCCCTGGGCCGCAGCTGGCCAGCCCAGCTCTCTGCCTGCTTGGAGTGGGAGGGCCGCTCACAGACAAGTGTCTCAGGCCAAGAGAGGTTACTTTCTTTCTGGGGGTAGAGCTCATCCCTGTCAGTATATGGGGGCTCTCAGAAGCTTACAGGTTGGACTTCAAGCTACTTGTCACTATTTTACCCTCCTCTGGTTTGTTACTGAGACGATTATTGTGGCTAAACCCAGTATCTGACATTTGCCTAGTTCTTTAGTGGCCAAAGCACTTTCATGATTAACTTAGTGTGTCCCTGTAAGGCTGGAGGCAGAGTCTCCTTGTCTATAAGAAAACTGCAGCTCAGGGCTGCCAGGAGCTTCCCTGCATCCTTCAGCCATTAGTATTTGGCGCTGGCAGGACTGGGAATCAGGCCTGGCTTCCAGTTCTGTGATGGTTGCCTGGTAGCCACCAGCAGCAGCAGGGCCCCTGACTACCACAGTCTCTGTGCTCTGCTCAGGAATTCTCATCTTCCTGGCTCGAGGATTTAAGACACTGGGCTGGAGAGCGCTGTTTGACAAACTTAATTCACTGTAAAATATTTGGCTTAAACTAGGCCAAGCCCCTCGTTATAATATTTTGGAGAGAAAGGAATCTTTCTGGATAGAGGCCAATGGGAAACACTGCCAACAAACTGGGTGCATCTCAGATTCAGACTTGGGGGCCAGACTAGTCACTGTTAGAGCAGCAAGTGGATGAGACTAGCTGTTCAGTGGGTGTGGGGCCTACCAGTGGAGGCCCTTTGTACTATCAGGCTCGTCCCCCAACCTTGGGAGTCTCCAGAGTGAATGTTTCTTAAGTGCGTTCCAAGTGGCTGGCCCCAGACCCCCTGACATGTGGCAGTGCTGCTAGCTGACCACAGGAGTGGATTTTGCTCATTTCACAATTTATGTCCCAATGTCATACTGGTCAGTCTACACTGGGAGGACTCTGTCCCCTGCTAGGCCTGGCACGTAACAGACACTTGGCAAATATTTGTTCATTGAATGGCATTGGCACACAACAGGAAGGGTCACCAGGATGATGGAGGGTCATCTGAAGAAATAGGCCTTGGAAGGAGACTCCAGAAACTTGAGCATTCAGCCCTGTATCATGGACGCTGCTCAGAACATTTAATCTGAGAGCATGCGGTGGATCAGGATGGGGGTGGGAAGGTTTGGACTGAGCAGGGCAGAGAGGCGCACCCCTGCCAATATTTCCTACTAGGCAATTTTGTTGCAACTTTTGGTGACAGAGCCCCAATTTAGACCCTAGGGCCGGGCATTGTAACCAACCAAATGGTTGGCGCATCACCCTGTGCGCCGAGAGGTTGCAGGTTTGATTCCCAGTCAGAGCACACGCCCAGGTTGTTGGTTTGATCCCTGGCCGGGCATGTACGGGAGGCAACTGGTGTCTCTCTCTCTCCCTCTCCTTTCCTCTCCCTTTAAAATCAATTAAACATGTCCTTGGGTGAGAATTTTTAAGAAGGTTGTGAGAAGTGGCTGGAAGGCATATGGGTAAGTCACTGGTTTCAG